TGCCACCACCTTGCCCGCACCCAGCTCATAAGTACCTGGCTCATAACGCACCCTAGCTAATGCTTGCCTGGGAATGTGTCTCAAGGGCAAGTATGGCTTAGAATCGCTAGCCTAGTGAAGTTCCCCAATGTCTCAACCGCACCCGCATCCATTGTATACAAAAGTGCATATTAGTGTAGAAGTAGTGAAGTAGATTAAGAAGATTTCATAGTGATGAGGATTAAGGAGATCTTTGTAGATCTTCAGTTAATTCATTGTGCATTTTGCCCTCAACTACACACGCTTCCTCCCGCAGTGCTACAGCCTGGGCAGAACGACGAGGTGTAGTCGCACGTTGCGGTAGCGCGGGCTTCCAGTTGGTGTACTTGAGATGTCTGTGTGTATATAGGTGTGTATGTGTGCTGGGGATATGAAGAAACTCGCTTACGAGGCCTGCGCGCTCAAGTGTTAGAGCATCTCCACCGCATCCCCAAATATATCCCAACTCGATAATGGGACATCAGATGGGACAAAATCTTCCCCACCGGATGTCCCGAAATCCAAATTTGGGGTTGGGACATCCACTTTGTCCCGAAAATTGCACACTATTGGGATATCCCAACTAATTGTCCCAACAAATATACTACAATATGTATGGAAAACCCAAGTCCATTCGTGCAGTTTCCCAATGTCGGCTTTGGACACAGCGACTGGCGGTCGGTATCGTGAACCACGTCTCGCCGTCGTCGGGCACGCGGACGATGTGGCTGAACGTGAGTCACCAGCATTCATTGATACAGCGATATCTGGCCGATATCGCTGCGGCAGTGATTGCCGGTGACTCTCGTTCCGACGCTGCGGCGAACGCGGGTTTGTCCAAGAGGCGCAACCGCATAACGCTATGCGGTCGCGCATATCGGACAAGAGTCCGCAGCAACAATTACACTCTATAACTTGGTGCGTGGGATTACAGAGTCGCTACGGTCAAGTACATAGGTTTGCAAGTACCGGCATCACTGACCTTGGGAAACTCAATAGCGAGGCGATGGTCACCATCGACATGCTATACCGCCGTAACCTCTGAAAAGTTAACTACAACTAGAGAGACGCAAACACCGTTCATAAATCTGTTCCAGAGTGAACTTGGCAGCCTCTCGACGTCATACCATGCACTTTCGGCTTCAGGTCAATTGGGAAGGGGACAGCTACCAAAACGGAAGATTTTTTAGAGACATCCCAAAAACAGTGAACTGGCTCAAATTTAGGGATGGGGACAAAAATATTTGGGGATGCGGTGGAGATGCTTCTCCACCGCATCCCATCCCATCCCCAAATATTTTCCCCATAACCCAGAACTTCGATTGTTCCGTTACTTCAGGTTGCAGTACGGATGTTTTGGGGATTATCGGGGTGATTCTGTCCCCATTTGCCTCCGATATCCCAATAATTTGCACTTTTTGGGATGTCCGAGGCAAATGGGGACAAAATCACCCGGATAAGTCCCCAAATTCTGCGTAGTATCCGTAACTACGATATACAACTGTAGTAATGATTTTTAGGGATGGCGAGTTGGGATGCGGTGGAGATGCTTAATGCTGCAAGATTGGATCGTCCATTATTGCCTCAGCTCAGGAAACTGCGTCATAATAGGGTGATTAGTAACGATTGTTTCGTGAGAGAAATCCCCACTTTTTGTCATTGGGGTAATTTCGCGGACATTCGGATCGGGGCGATTTAAGAACCACCCGAGAAATTTTTGAGTAGAACACACAATACTGAACTATGACAGGATGTTTGACTTGATGTACTCTCACAAATTATATACTTCCTCTGTTCCAAATTACTGCGCACATTTCCCTTCCCAGCAACCCCAAAAAGTCGTGTTTCGACCAAATTTTAATGAATCCTACCGCGAATATAAATATGAAGGTATTGTCTATTGGCTGCAACGCGCAAAACAACCAATCTCGGGCTGTAAAATTTGATTCGTCATCGGGCATCAGAAAAAACAATACAAAGTATTGGAGGTTTGTTTAATTATTCTGGGGCATTGGTTCGTTTGGCCACGTCGTGTTGCGTGGAATGGAGGCCAGATTTAACAACCGCTTGAAGCTGCCACCCCTGAAAAAGTACCGTTAAGTGACGCATTGGTACTCTATGCATGAATCTCACCAACCGCGTTTTATTTCTCGGGGTTCTTCACCGTAAACTCGAAGCGCCAGTGGTGCGTGTTCCTTCTGTCCAAGGCATCATGTTGTGGCCGTGAAATTTTGTCTTTGTAAGAACTTCAGCGAATGATATCTTTTTACAGATTAGCCAATCAAGTAAAGTGTCCACACTAATTTGGAATAGAAAATGCTGACATTAGTAGCAAAAATTAATGACAAGAATCATTATCACCGAAAATCCAAGGGTACACTGTATCTATGTTAAGATTGACTACATAGAGTTAGACGGTATAAAATTTATTATAAATAAACGGTGCTGACCAACCACCTAGAAGTTAAAGCACTCATTAATAACATATTTCTATATTCCCCTAAAAAAGATAAAGCGAAACCCATAGCAGAATATTCAACATTATAACCTGATCAAAACGATGCAATTTATTTAAATAATCTACACCACATAGATTCTTTAAACATACTTACAGAAAAAACAAAAGTAAAAAAAATACTAAGAGTGGTTATTAAAGAAGATCCTATGCTACCTATCCATTTTCCCATTAAAGCCCCGAAAATAGCTCCTAATAAAGGTACACACAAATGCATATGTCCGCAGTAATTTGGAAGTAACTACAGTAATACAATCAGTTGTTATGATACTACCTGGCTCTTCACTGGTGTACCTGACAAATTACCTAGTACGTTACGCGAAATATAGCTGAGTCCCGCCTTGATTTCGGCGATATTACGTTGACGTGTGCTCATGAAACTAGGTCCAAGCATCTAAACGATGAAAGTAGGTACAGCCCCAAAGTATCACATCGATACCTGTCCTGCACGCCGAGTGCTGTCCAACTTCTCCGACAGTCATCGCACTACGCCGTAGATACAGTATAAACACAATTTTTAGGTAAATAGTTTGAACACTGTAAAACTCAAAAATTATATTTGATAAGTTGATTTAGTGTAACGACGGGCGAAAAATCACACCAAATTATATTATATAAGGAGATTCGATAAAACCTGCTTGATTAACCGAATATCAGGTGAGCAGTGTGTTAGGCCCTGGTCGGGGAAAAACCCTGGACGATTATTCAACCCTGAACGGCTTATTATCTGGCTCAAATTATCCGAATTATGACTGTGGTGTTTTCTCGTGTGCGGAAAATACAATTAAGTGACGTGCAGCTTGCTTGATAAGCGAAATGAGTCGACGCGGAGAATACGTGGCTCTTCATGAATATGTTGTAGCGTCCATTTTAGGTACCATATACGACCACGCATGCACCACGCACCGCTGCTTCGCTACTATCAGCTTACGGTCCATCCTCGGCCGACGAGCTGATAGCATTGAAGCATCTACAGGTCCTCTACGGTGCAAACCGCACGGGTAGATAGATGGCATTAGGTATTAGCCTCCTGTGTAGATGTGTCTTTCAACACTACTGGTTTCGACAAGTGTCGAGTCTCATTGATGGCACGAACCACCCGCAAGTGCGACTGGCGTGGAACACCGGCAATTTGTGCTGCACCACGTAAAATACATAATGATTTGTAATAATAATCCCACTGTTGTTTTGACTGTAAGCCGAAATACTGTTTCAATGAGGGAATTATCACATCCGGATACACCTTTTCGCCCGTTATTGCGAATTTGCCATTCACAGAACCCCTGAACCCCTCCCAAGAAGGTATCCAAGTGTTCGATTAGGTTGTGTGGGATCCTATTCGCTAATTAGATTGTTGGCTGCCCAGCAGCTTTCTGATTAGGTTAGGGTTAAGCCCCAGTAAGTACTTGCCACTGGGGGGAATTCACTTTGTTATTTGTCTTTGAACCGGACTCCGCAATGTCCGTCAAATTGAGACGCAACAAATAATTCTTGAGTAGAAGGCCGCTGCTTGCCGTACGAGTATGGAACATAAACGTCTGCCGTTTGAGTAACCTGGCTCGTGTTACTCGGTCGTAGCCGTCCCTTACCCCGTAGAACCAATCGGAGATGGACGAGCTGCGGATGCAAAGCGTGGAGCGTGGAGCGTGCATCAATGACGTAAAGTCAGTTTAATCTAATGACGTACGAACAACTGGCGCTGTTCCATGCGCAGGAAGAAGCCATGACGAACCGGATGGAAGATGAGTCTTCACGACAGTTTGCAATGGTGAAGGCGATGGAGAAGAATCGCCTGGAACAATATGAATCCCGAGCGATTCTCTTACGTCAACAAGTATAACTGGTTCGTCGACAAAGCGAACTAAAGCGTGCGATAACCGATTAAGCCAGGGTCTCGAAAGCGCATCAAGAAATGCTCCGACAGGTGTTAGACCCGACGCTCCAGCAGAACTACAAGGTAGAAGAGTTGAACCAGAAGGTCCGACTGGAATAGCGTGCGATGTGCATTATTCGCTGTAGCGACCAATCAATCGGTCGCCATTTCCATCCGAACAAGCGGGGCCGACGAGCTGCGTGGAGAACCTCATTAGTGTACAGAGGCAGCACGAAGCGCGAGTTTCGTGAGTTAATGGACGAGTATCTAGCCTACTCGCGACATGTGGAAGTGCTCAACCACGGCATAGAGCGGTACCATCTTTTTGATGCCGTTGGCGGCGTGCATTCATTTGCCGCGTGTGTGCGCACATGATTTTGGCAAGTTGTTTGAAGAAATCACCTAAAACGACTGGCGCAGTTACTTTTTATTGGCGTGTAAGATCCAAGAGTTGGACCTGGAATCGGTGGCGAAAGCGACGGCGTCGCTCAAGATGGACACGAAGGTCCTTGACGCGTTCGGCTGCTAGCCGACTTCTACGACATGTTGGAACAACTGGACGTGGCGCACTTGTCGGAGCAGGAACCAAAGCAGTCGGTCAAGATCCTTACGGCAGCGAATCGACCGTCTTAGCTAGAGTGGTGCGTACCAATCTGTGTTGTCGCCGACGTTTCTATCACGTCTGGAAGAAACGGGCAATTTAACGTCGCCGGTGCGACAGTTGGGCGACGTGATGGAATTGGCCGGATTCATGGAAGTTATGAAGCGCGATGTGGACCGCGGCGTCAACTTACGTCTGACATTTGAAACGGCCGAAAAAACCATGGATATCCCGAACCTCAAATGTTGGGTCGCCCGCGACTCACGATTAGGTCGCCCAGGCCGTCTTATAGGCCGCCACTACAAGACGGCCTGGGCGACCTAATCGTGACTCGCGACGGAATGGCGAAGCTTGGGTATTGTCCCCGTTCATTGCTGCTGAATGCGCGGCCAGCGCAAATCGTGTACGACTACTGGACCAGTTGGGCGGCAAACACACGTCGTTAATGGCGGCCATAAAGGAGGTTGAAGCGGTGGAAAAACTACCTCATCGCGCATTACACGAAATATAATGAGTGAATTAGACATTCCCGCGAAACTAACAGTTCCCCCTATGTCGCAAAGTATAATGAAGCCCCGCGAATTGAAATGAGATTCCACGAAATATACCAGTTATTTTTCGAAATTAACCGCAAAATGGTGTAGTAGCTATTTGGTGGACGTAACCTGAAAGAGCTCGTCAAGATCTGTCACTTAAACCTAAACACAATGATTTAGACAGTTCACGATGACGTAAACAATTTCGCAAGTTGTAAAATTTGCATTGACAGTGAGTCTTTGAAGTCCAGTGATGTGCTGAATCTTATACTTGAAGTAAGTATGGATTTGGGCTGTGTAAAAACAGACGAGCAGACTGGAAACGAAAAAGGAATATTATATTTGAACAGGAATAAGTTATTGCGGCGCTGTTCTACACTTTCTCTCTTATTCGGACACTCAACCGTACCACGTGGCAATCTTATCAAATACCCTCATGTTCCCGAAGTGTCCGTTGCGGAATGTTGTATGTACTCGCAGCAGAAGGTGCTGTGAGAATACAAGAGTGCTAAGTCCCAAGACATTTGAAAGAGGTGAGCATACTTAACTGGTGAAAAGGCCCAAGACATTTCAGAGAGATGTGAATGGGGTTGCGGAAAAGTAAAATACAATGACGGTATACGTCAAAATACAGTCTGATTATACTGTCGCACCATTGGGGGGCATCCCCACCAGTAAGACTGTACGTATAATCAGACTGTAAAATGCTGTTTTACAGTTCCTGTAAGCTTATTTTGATTTTCGTCAACCCCAGCGGTAAAACGGTAAAAAATTCCGCATAACTATCATATCCGGAAATGAACCAGTTTGCTTTGATCAACGGTGATGAAGTGGAATTCACTTGTAAGATCCTTGACCACCCTCCCGCCCTATATAGTCAATAGTAGACCGCCGCTTTAGGTACTTCGAAGTATATGGACTCACCATGGACGATGCGGTTGAGAATGACGACGTTCTAAGCAACGGATTGATGGAAGTAAGGAAAATCGGTCATTCACACCTGAGAACTTGTGTCACTGCTCAGAGAAGGTTGTGCTTTGGTTGGTCTGCCAATTCACTCGACGAGTTTAGTGAAGTGTGAGCCACGAGCGCGGTTGAAGGACCCATTTTCTCAGAGGAAAGTGATTATTGGCCCTCCGTCAACTGCATGCCACAGTTGATTGGACAAAATTTCCCAATGATAACATGTTATTGGCTAATTCGTCAAGACTGTATTTTACAGTCGCAACTGTAAATCTGGCCGATTTGCAGTCTCGCGGTAAAATTATACGCTTTTCTGTATTTTACAGTCGCCCGGTGGGGTTGTCAAAAAAAAGAAAATAATCCGGATGGAACTGTAAAATAGCGTTTACAGTCGCACCAGTGGAATGCCCTGCCCTTACACGGCACATGTGCACATCACAACCTGCACCGTGACAGCTAACTATAGGTAGCGGCATCTCATGCGCACGTGCACGCATGTGCGCGAAAAACTACAAATTCGTTCTCCATTGTCGTCGTTTTCGTCCTCTGTACTCCACGTAGGTAAGAATGCTTGCATACCTTCCACATGTGGAGTACATGATCTCACAGTTTCAGCTCACCTCCATGCGTCGCTCCTGAGATTTCGACCACCTGCGTTTGGACTTTCCGCACATGCGCTAGCGCAGAATGTATACATGTCAATTTTTAAAAGATCATGCATTTCCACATGTAACGTTCAAAACTATATAAAAAAATTCACTGTCAATACAAAGTTCTATATAAAGTGACACAGGGATAAACCTGGGTAAAAGAGATACTTAGTAAAACGATAATTTCATTTTGGCAAAAATAATACAAATATGATGACAGTGGGGTATAATATCGTTCCAAAACAACTTGTGAGAGATCTGTCAAACCGGTATATACACCACCGCTGTACAGCCTTCCCAACATCCTCGTGTTCTCACGCATGAAGTGAACATTTCAAGTAACGTTAGCATGTTGGCATGAAGAATAGGCTTAGTCAACATGCGAGATTATTCCGAGCTTCGTTCATTTCCTGCATCTCCCTGTATTCCTGGAAGAATTTTCAGGTAAATTGTATTGGAAAATTCGTATGGATTCTTGGTGCAAAATGAAACTGTTTTGCGTTGAAATGTGTTATGCCCGGACCTTTCCTTCATACTAAATGGTCAGTAGTTGCATTTCTTATGCTTGAAGTACCTTGGACAATCACGACACTTGGTGTCCCATAGCCTCATGCGACTAGACCTGTGTTCTCGGTGTCAGCCTCGTGTCGACTACACGTGCGTGAGTGTGTGTAGCCGATGACCAACATCCGTGTCCGGATGTGCATGATGGTTGCGCAACCAAGTTATTCAGTGGCTGAGGAGACTGTAGCAGATGATTGGTTGTGAGCAAGAACTTAGACATGATTGATAATGAAGTTCACTTTTGGATATTTTTGTCATCGAGGTCTCCGTTGTGAACATGGTAGCGGTTGTGAACACCGGCGCAAGACAACACAGAATTCTTTAGCTGTCATTAGACACGCTAGCATCTGAACGTATGGAAGACCCCTCGAGTGGGAACGACCGTGACATGAACGTGGAGCTCCCTGGCAGCGACCACGATGAAGAACCCGAAGATAGATCCCGTTCAGATCGCTCCCCAAGTCCGACGGCCGGATCTGCATTTCAATGCCGTTTCCAAGACTGCGGAAGGCCGCGGAGCCAAGAGACGGTGCGGTGAATGTTCCGATCACCCCAAGGACGCCAACAGCCGGTGACAGTGGACGAGTCATGGACGTACGGATGGCCAACCAGTCCAGCGCCTGACAGCACAGCGCCTACGGATGTCCCGGCCGCGGAGAAGGAAGACCCGGACATGGGCCATACAGACGTGTACCTGCACAACGCTCCGGCCCTCCCCAAACACCCGACGTTCAAGGGATCGACCAAGGAGGAACGCCGTACGTTTATGGCCGCGTACAACTTGTACATCAGCCAGACAGCAGCCCTTACCGTCAATGGGACTAAACCGTTCGTCATGCCGGTGAACGCATGCATCGATCCAGCTAGCAAGCAACGTATTGCTGAGTGGGATATGGGTAAGGACCCGTATGAATTGACAGAAGCCGAATGGGTTGCGCGGTTCCGGCAAGGTTATGACGTCGACCCACGGGCGCTGGACACACTCAAGTAACGGATCAAGGCGGCTGTCGTGTTTGGCATGTCCGTACAAGATGCCGACTCACGTATTGGGAAGATGTTGGATGGACTGGCAGCCGCCATCTGTCGCGACCGTCAGGAATGGGTGATCAAGGAAGAAAGCCCAGCGATCGTCAAGATCATTACGGACGCGGTCGAGCCGGTGTCGCTCCATCGTGCCGTGACTGAGCAGATGGCGTTGACACGCAACAAGCCGTTGAAGAAGGGCGTATACCGTTTCGTACGGTGATTGCGGGAGTACGCGATCGGGCACGAACGGTTCGTCGGTTACGAAGATACGAAGCCAGCTGCGAAGCCGGATCCGCCCAAGACGAACCAAGGAGGTACACATGGACTTCGTACGGCTCCGACTCAGTCGACACCGCGGGCACCAGCGACAGGGACGACGCCCCAGGCACCACCTGGGCTGACGTCAGCGAACGGCTGTCTGAAGTGCAAGTCTACGAGCCATCGCGTACGGGAGTGCCCGGGTATCACCGAAGAGGAAGCAGTGAAGCACCTCAAGGCACACGACGAGCCCTCGGTCGTGGACGGAGCAACGGTGATCGTGGGCGAAGGGACGGTGGACGTGGAAATGGACATCGTATGGCCATAATGAAAACGGATCCCGAACATACGGAACGTGCCAAATTGGTGGCTACGGTAGAAGGTGTGTTGACCGTAAATGCTTCGTTGCTCGACTCCGGAACTGACTTGTCGGTGGCCTCTGGTAGCCTCGTGTCGGCCTTACTGGCAGCAGGTGCTGCGCCAGAGATCACAACCATGGGACCGTTTTCCCTACAGCCGTACGGAGAGGACAGTCCATCGGTCGTCGTGACCAAACAAGTCCGTTTCGGAAGTTTGGAATTCAAGCCCGGATGTGGACCCTTGATGTTGCGCGGGTTGCGCGTATGGGTCGACGAATCTGTGGCAGGCGTGGAACTGACCTTAGGCCTGCCGGTCATGCGACAAGACGTTGCTCGAGAACGCGCGTCGTCAGCAAGGGAATGGCACTTTGCCGACCAGTCGATCGCGACGCCCGGTGAGGCGATGCATCGAACCCTCCGTATGGAAGAGACGTTGGTGGACGACATCGACGACGACGAAGGGATGTGCTGCGCGATTCCAGACTGGGGTACGGACCCGTACCCCACAGACGGGCAAGTCGACGACGATCCGGTCCGTACGGTGCTGATGAGCAAAGTTGCCGACGCCGCATGGATCAAAAGTCCGTACGGCGCTTACAAGAAGTACTGGTGGAGTTCAAGGACGTATTCCGTTTGAAGTTCGGTCGGGATCCTCCGGTCAAGGTGGAGCCGTTGAAGGTGCATCTGAAACCCGGCCCCTTTTCAGTGAAGTCAGGACTTCGGCGTTACCCACCGACCCATGTGGCGTGCTTGGAGAAGCACGTAGGAGAAGCACATACGTGAGCTTGAAGAAGCCGGTTTGGTGTACCGTAACACTCGGTCACGTTGGACCGCCCCGCCCCGTATCGTCCCCGTATCGTCCCGAAGAAAGACCCAGGCGACCTACGGATGACGATCGACTCAAGACCGATCAACGCGTGTACGGAGCTGATGCCATGGCCGATGCCCAACTTAGAAGTTGCGATGTCCGTACTGCAAGGCACTACGGTGTACTTCACTCTGGACAGGATGAAGGTTTATTGGCAACTGCCCTTACACCCTGACTCCAAGAGTACTACTCTTTCATGACGCCAGTCGGGGTTGTCACTTCAACGCGGGTGCTGATGGGCCAGTCGGAGGCGGTGGCGTACTGTCAAGGCGTTGTGGACGAGCTGTTCGGAGACATGCTCATGCACGGTCTGCTCGGTTGGCTCGACGACCTGCTCGGATACGCCGACAATACGGATGACTTGCTAGCTCCGTCAAGTTCTGACCGAATGCCAGACGTACGGTCTCATGTTGCATCCGGGCAAGTGTACGTTCTTCACGACGAAGACCGTATGGTGCGGAAAGGAGATCTCCGCGGATG